GGTTGGACTTGAACTAGCTACACCCAAGATGACCTTGAATGTCAGATCCTTCTGCCACCACCTCCCTAGGGCTGGGCTTTCTGGCATGCCCCACCACACCCCTCAACAGAGGGTTTGGGGAACAATGTCAACTTGGTAGATGTCTCATCTGTGGGTTTAGTGTGGTTTGGACTTGGAACCGGTCTACAGAGGCGGAGTGGTGATCCACCCTGAGATAGCACAGCCTGTCCTTGCTGTCCCTCCACACAGTGGATGGTTCCACTGGGATCTGCGCTGAGCGAGGACCGAAGTACAGTTTCTAGCAGAGTGGGGAGAGCTGGAGGGCATCGTGCGTGCTGGGCTCTCCAAGCCAGGCCACCGGGAACGTGGTGATGAGGGAGCCCTGGCAAACTTGGGGGGATTTTGTTGGGTTATATTGTTGCTTACTGGGTGGGCAGATGCAGTCAGAGCCAACTAACCGGCATGCCAGAGGAGAAGCTGATGTTAGCGATTTGCCTCTCCTTGGCAGCATTTAGTCACGGGCCAACTGGAAACCAAATTCATCATGTCACCTTCTTCCCGAGAACCTCCTGTACGTTCCAGGCTGAGAGCCACCTCCTCCGGACACCTCTCCTGTGCAGTCTCTGTCTCGGTTGCTCTGCTCCATACCACAGACTGAGAATGGGTTCTGAGGTGGAAATAAATCAGTACTAAGGACTTGCAGAGTGTCCATGCATGTGCTGGGCCCAGCTGTGCCTTCTGCGTGTCCAATGTGTTCTGTGTGGCTTCAAATGAAGTCATCCGGCCTTCCGGCACTTACACGCTTTGAAGGAAAGCATCGTTCTAAAACTGTGAACTGTGATAGCCTCTCAAATGTGTTCCCTGAGTGGGAAATTTAAGTGTGGGTTAAGGGAAGGATGTGACTCCCAGGCAGTCAGTGTGGCAGTTCCGCAGGTCGAGGTGACAGGTTTGCAGGTGGCTTGGACATGTGATTTTCGAGACAGTTGGATGGCTGTGAGGGTTCCCAAAGCCTGGGCAGATGGAAACATGTGACATCTGTTAACTAAAGGAGAAGAGGCCATGTGACGGGCAGGGTTTCAAGGGGGAAGGTCACCATATTTTTGGGGGGACATTTTAAAATTTGAAGTCCTTATCAGATGTACGGGAGGGGATGTGGAATAAGCAGTTGCTTGTATGAGTCAGGTGTTTTATTTATTTATTTTTAACACCATTATGTCCATTGCAGGAAGTCACATGTAGAAATATTAAAACTGCAATAATTGAGAGGAAAACAGTATTCTGAGAACTAAGCTCATGCTTGCAGAGGTAGAACATGATTTAAGTCTGTTAATAGAACCTAGTTTCTACCCAGGTGAGACCATGTGGGGTACGGAGAGCAAAGGGGGGCTCCTCAGACATTTCCCCAGAAACACAGGAACCAAGGGATCAGATGAGCGAAAGGCTGTAGCGTTGTGTGAGGATTGAAGGATGTTAGGTTAGAAGTCAGGGTTTAGGGCTGTGTAACTTTCCGTTACTGGAACACATGGCTGGAGATAACCAGCGTGCAAAGAGAAAGGGCCTTCTTCTGCTGCCTCTCTCTCTTCTCTTCTCCCTTCCCTTCCCCCTTCTCTTTTTCTCTCTCTTCTGTCCCTCCCTCCATAACCCCTTACTCTATGCCATTTCCAATACCCACTAAAGAAACTCTATTCCCAAGCTCTCTCTGCATGGCGTATCTGTCTCTCACCCGCCATGGCCACGAGCCCTCCACCGCCACCTCCTGTGGGACCAGCCTCGGGTCACCCTGTTTTGTTTATGATAACTGGTTGGTTGGAAGCGTCACCCCAGACCCTGGCATCCACATACCCAGAATCGGGAATGTTTGGGTTAAGGCCACACCACAGCCTTTGGCATCCATATATCCATAGAGTCTGGAATGTTCAGGAGGAAGTTTCATCCTAAGCCCCCTCCCCTGGGAGTTGCCTCAGTCCAGACTCTACCCCGAGAACAATGACCCCTCCCAGAGATGCTCAAGACCACTCCTGCAAGGTATTTAAATTGTACCCCTGAGTACAAACACTAGGTTTTCTGGTCTTCCTTCCCTGTCTCCTACATTAAACCTGGGCTTTTTCTAGTTTGGTTTAATTTGGTCTGATTTGGATTACTGTGTCGGCGGAGAGGTTTATTGTGGTGCATTCTCAAATCATATAGGGTCTCTGTGTGTACACAGAGTGTGTGTGTATCTCTGTGTGAGTGTATATGTCTATGTCTGTGTGTCTCTGTGATTGAGTGTGTGTATATGTGTGTCTGTGTATCTCTGTGTGTGAGTGTGTGTCTCTGTGTGTGTCTCTGTGTATGAGTGTGTGTGTATGTTTCTGTGAGTGTGCGCCTCTGTGTGTCTGTGTCTGTCTGTGTGTGAATGTATGTGTATCTCTCTGTGTGAGTGTGTGTCTCTGTATGAGTGTGTGTGAGTGCGTGTCTCTATGTATGAGTGTGTGTCTGTGTGTATATGTGTCTGAGTGTGTGTATCTCTGTGTGTGTATGTCTCTGTGTATGAGTGTGTGTCTGTGTATGTCTCTATGTATGAGTGTGTGTGTCTGTGTGTGTCTGTGTCTGGGTGTGTATCTCTCTCTCTGTGTGTGTGTGTATATGTCTGTGTGTATGAGTGTGTGTCTGTGTATATCTCTATGAGTGTGTGTGTCTGTGTGTGTCTGTGTCTGAGTGTGTATCTCTGTGTGTGTGTGTGTGTGTATGTCTCTGTGTATGAGTGTGTGTTTGCGCTTCAGCATGGTACGATAGATTTACTTCCCAAAGTCACACTGTGGGTCTCTGCTCATGGCGACCTGACCCTCTGTGTTAGACACCATCTCAGCCATTCAGTAGCTGTTGCTCCTGTGCTCCCATCGCACAGGTGCTGTGTTATCAGCAGGGGCTGTGAGTCACATAGGGATGCTTGCTGCTCTGAGGGAGTTGGGGTCTTTGTGTTGGGCAAGGATGAAATGCAGTTCCCTCAGGGATAAGTTAGAATGAAGGCATCTCTTTATCTGGGTCTCCATGTGTGATCATTCTTGGCTTAACCAAAGAGACATATTCTGAGCAGTTGTCCCTGGGTGGCTTTGTCACTCGGCTAACGTTGCCTGTGCTCACACAAATTAAGATGGCTCGTGATGTCACTTGGCCTTATAATATTTTAGGGATTACTATAGTATAATCCATTATTGTTCATCAGAAGGTCATGATGTGACATGCGACCATATATAATTTTTTTATTTTTATTTTTTTAAAATATTTTTTATGGTTTATTTAATGTGCCTTGGTGTGAAGGTGTCAGATCCCCTACAACTGGATCTTCACAGAAAGTTGTGAGTTGCCATGTGGGTGCTGGGAATTGAACCCAGATCCTTTAGAAGAGCAGTCAGTACTCTTAACCACTGAGCCCTCCATCTTTCCAGCCCCCACATATATAATTCATTACATAGATGATCAAAGATAGTTTCTTATCTCAGTATGCTTGTCTGGCAGCAAATGAAACCATGTGTCTCGGCTGGGTTTTCTGAGATTTGGGTAGTGAGAGAGCCTGGGAGGATCCATCTAGGGCATCTTCTAAAGGAAAGTTGGAGTCCCTTGAGTTCGTATTTCTTAATTTAATATTACATCCCTCTCTGTAATGTTCCCGCATAAGCTACAAATGCTGTTTACTGCTCAGTCTCTTTGAACGTGGTCATCAGTGTTTCTTTCCTGCTTCCTCCTTTGTCCTCTTCAAGGGGTTGGTTCTTGGGTTTGAACTCAGGTCCTGTACGTGCTGAGCAGTTACCTGATAACTTCTCTATACCTGAGCCTTTCTTAGCTAGTTGGTCTTCCCAGACTGCCTTTTCCTGCTGATTCAAAACAAAACAACCCCACCACAAACCATCACAAGTCTTTAAGCCTGAAAACATGCTAATGAATTCCACTCGGAAGTACTAACTGGAAAATTCCAGATGTTCTACTGGAAGAAAGGGCTCAGGCCTGTGGACGGCCTTTCAGTTGTCTGGGAAGCCCACCTACGTGGAGCCCGGGTAGGCAGGGTGACAAGTGCTCCCTGGGGAGGGTGGTGAGAAAGAGGTGACCCGATTGGCTTCTCCTTCTCCTGGTGTTACTCAGGATCCCTAGGGTGGACAAGGCGAAGCATTGGAATGTTCTAGAGACCCAGATTTACCTTTAGGAGCCCTTGCATTGTTTGCCACAGTCCTGGGGAACTGTCACAGCTCCCAGTCAAAGCTCTGTGCCTTTGGAGTGTCCTGAGCACTTCACACCTTGCTTCCCAGAGCTGCTGAGGTCTCAGTACTGCTGAAACCCCTTAGGTTCTCTTGGCAATTTTCTTTTCCTTTGCGGGGAAGAGGGTGTACTGAGGATTGATTTTAGGGCCCAGTGTACTCTACTACTCGACGACACCCCCAGTCTCTACTGGTGTTTTCTGACTAACTGTATTGTGTGGTCTGTGTAGGAGCTTTCCTCTTCTGCCTCAGTGAGGAATCTGGATTCTTTTGTTGTTCACTTGTTACAATGCACTACCAATCTTCCTGATTTAGATTCCCAATCCTTCCCAGATTTGTCCAGTGGGACTCCTCTGTCTACCTTTTCTGTTCTTGGCCCTATCTTCCTGGTACCTTGAACATCTCCCAATATTGCAGTACAAGAGGGTGTGGTCCACCTAGCACCTTTTCTGCCCAGGTAATCAGCCGTTTTTAAGGCGCCATTGTCTCTATAAAGGAGATGTTATTAAGAAGCGAAGCTCTGGCTATCAGGGTGTCAGAGTGCTCTCTTTGATTGGGGCATCACCGCCCCCAGGGTCTCCCAGTGTGTAAGCATGCATGTGGCATGTGTACACACACACGTGTGTATGGTGTGAATTAGTACAGATTTGACTTCTCTCTGCCTTCGTATGCTTAAAATCTGGAGGCTGACACATTGCCCAGAGGTGGGCGACTTCTTCAACACAAAGGTGTAGTTCTGAGGATGTCGTCCTTCTAACTCTTTAACAGGTGGCTCAACCCCTTGTTTAAAACTGGTCACTCGCGGAGGTTGGAGGAAGATGACATGTTCTCAGTGCTTCCAGAAGATCGCTCCAAGCACCTCGGAGAGGAACTGCAAGGGTAAGGGGCGTGAAAGAGTAAGAGAAGGGGAGGGAAGGAGAGCCCGGCCTGTGCGGCTTGCGGCTTACAGTAGGGTTGGCCTTCTCGGGTCCCTTGCTTTTTGCTGCAGACCTTGCTGTGGTTTCCTTCTCCCAACATGGTGCGCTTCCTCTCAGGCTGGCCTGACTTAGTGACCTGGGAATGAAAACCTGTGTTGGTAGGCGTGAGGCGAGCCTGCTCCACAGGCTGTCCATGCCCGAGATCTGTCTCTGGGTGAGGTTTACACCGGAGAGAGTGCCTGCCTTCTCTGGCTACCAAGGTTGCTGTCGTCCAGCAAAGCTCGGCGGTAACTTGTTCCCTGAGATGTTCCCCCTTGAGGCCCGTTTTTCTGGTGCAGCAAAGTCCTCCCTCACCCATCATTCTGGGTCCCCCGGGACAATTAGCTGGTGTTTGTGCCGCATCTCAGAATAACCCTGTCATAAACACTTCTCTGTCCTCCTGCCACCTCCCTGTTTTGTGCAATGACCATGCACACCATTCTTGACTCAGCTTCTGTCTTTTCACAGGTACTGGGATAAAGAAGTCCTGAGAGCCAAGAAGGATGCACGGAAGCCTTCCTTAACCAAGGCGATCATAAAGTGTTACTGGAAATCTTACCTGGTTTTGGGAATTTTTACGTTAATTGAGGTAAATGTTTGCTCTAACCTGTCCCCTGTTTCTGAGTGGGTGGACCAGGAGGAGACACACTCACTGTTGATCTTCATGGATGGCAGTGGGAACCAGCAGGGAGGAGAGGCCAGATGAACTTTGGAGTGTGTTGAGCTCAGGGAAGAAGAATGACGAATTCCGTTAGTTGTGTCTTTGGAGTGGGCCATGATGCTTAAGTGGCTGACGCTGATGGATGCTACTGTTTTTTCTGACAACTCAGCAGTTAGGAGCACTCACTGCTCTTGCAGAGGTCTGGGGTTTGGTTCCCAGCACCCACATAGTGGCTCAGAACCACTCCCCAGTCTAGTCCAGCGGGATCTTGTACCATCTTCTCACTTCCCTGGGCTCCAGCCTGCGCTCAGTGCACATACACCGCACTTAGGGACACACACATCCACACAAAATAAACACATTTTCACAAGGCCTAAGGTCCAGTGTCAGCAGAAGCCACAGTGTCCTATGGTGCATATCGCATGCCGGCGTTCTGCAGTGTGGGAGATCCAGAGGCATCTTTGATCATGCTTGAGGAGACGTCCTGTGGTTTGGAGGAAGTGCTCTTGGGCCGAAGCCCGGAATAACCAGTGCCCAACAAGTCATTGTTAGCCTCCCTGTGCCAAATCCGATAAATGCTTCCCCGAGAAGGGTACTGTCAACTTTCCCCTCCCAGGTAAATAAGACTTGGTGCCATGTGCCCAGGCACCTAGAGCTGTACCCGCTCTGGGCCATGGTCCAGCTTGAACTCTAGTGGCCTTCTGTGCTGTTCACTCTAGTTGGCTGGTCTTGCCTCGGAAGAGATTGCTGGCCTAAAGTTGAGTTTTGGTAGCCTGGTATACAGAGTGGAAACCAGTGGTCGAATGTGCTGATCAGCCGAAGGTGGAAAGCTGAGAGACCCTTCAGGGTTGTCCAGTAAGATCAGGGCCTGTGCTGGTCAGTGGCATGCTGGAGGGGGATCCTGAAAATTTGGCTGTATGGCTTGTCCCTTTGTGTTTTTATTTATGTATATGTGTATTTATGCCACTTGTATCGGGATGTCTGATGAGGCCCGAAGAAGAGGTCTGACCCCTTAGAGGTAGAGGTTCAAGGTCGTTGTGAGCCTCCGCCTCCTGACCTGAAAAAGGTTCTTAAAAAAATGCTGCCACCAGAAACCATGTATGAAACATTCATGATGTTAATTTTATTCCTTTTAGGACTTTGGTGAGGTGGGAGGTATTCTTATTATCAACAGCTCCCCAAGTGCTGAGTTCTCAGTTCCTGTACCCAGGGCCACCCTGAAACATAGATGACAGCTAGCTGAGTTTCTGTGTCAGCCACTCTGAGACGAGCCCAAACCTTCTAGACTAGGGCTGGTCTAAGGTCATGAACTTTGCCCCGAACTCCTCAAGTCTGTTGCTTGACCTTAGCCTAGGGAGGATGGAGCCGGGATGGCCTTGGAGCAGTGGTGGCACCTGCATTTGTCCACAGTGTCTCCTGGGACCAGAAAGTCCCATGCAGTACTGGACAGGGGCTGTCACTGGTGGGTCAGTGTGTCCAGTGTGTTCAGGTGGACCGGAAGTCCTGCAGCAGAAGTTGGGCTGCCTCTGGGTGGCTCCGCTTTCCCTGCTGTGACCCCTGCTGTGATAACTAAGCAGCCCCTCCTACACAGTGACGTCTGGGGAGCTACGAGTCTTTTGTGTTCAGCTGGGAAAATGATGTTTGGGATTTCTTCCTCCTCCTCCTCTTCTTCTTCTTCTCCTTCTCCTCCTCCTCCTCCTCCTTTTTCTTCCTCCTCCTTCCTTCTCCTCCTCCTTTCTTCCTCCTTTGCTTCCTCCTCCTCTTCTTTCTTTTCAGTCAGCCAAAAAGAAGCATGTATTCTAACACAAATACTTTTATTTTTCACGGACTGGCCCATTGATGCTGATAATCTGCAGAAGTCAGAAAAAAATTTTTTTTTTGAGACAATTTTTTTTTCCTCTCTTTTCTCTGTGTAACAGTTCTGACTGTCCTGGAACTAGCTCTTGTAGACTAGGCTGGCCTCTAACTCCCAGAGATCCACCTGCCTCTGCCTCCCGAGTGCTGCCACCACCGTCCACCTCAGAAGTAATTTCTTATGAGGAAGCTAATAAGGATTCAGCTACATTTCAAAGTTCATGGCCTGATGGGTGTGGTTGCACCTGCCTGTTACTCAAATAGGTGAGAGTTGGAGCAACAGGAAGAGAGTTCAGGTCAGCTGGGCTAGTGAAACCCTGTCTCAAAAAGCAAGAGGAAATCGCCTTCAGGTGATGCTTATGATTTTATATGTGTTCCTTTACTCGCGGCTGTGATCGAATACTTGACAAAATCTAAGGAAGGAAGTGTTCGTTGTGGCTGGCAGTCTGAGGGAGAGCCCATCTGATCCCATCATGGTGGAAGAGCATGTTGGCGGCCCCGGAGGCAGTGGTCACATGGTGCCCATAATCAGGAAGCAGCATGATGAAGGCCAGTGCTCTCTCTGCCCTTCTTACTCAGCCCAGGCCCCCAGTCCATTGAATGCTGTCACCCACATTCAGGATGGGTCTTCCCACCTCAGTGGATCAAGTCTGGAAATCCCTCACAGGCATGCCCAGAAGTTCATCTCCCTGGTAATTCTGTAAGCGGTAGGGTTGACAGTCACTCCCAACTATCACAGGTTTCCATCCTTGCGGCTCACTCCTGAGCCAGAAGAATGAGCATTAGTTTCATAGTTTATGGATTGGTTTCTCGTTTTTGGGATCTCGTCTCTGTGGTGTTCATTGGTTTCTGAGTTTTATTCGCAGAAGGATGAACTCAGTGAGGCATTTTGTGCAAAACATATATTTCTTTAGTGACTCAAAAGCACATGGTACTCCTTTGGGAACACAACACCTGTGTTGACCCCTAATCTGTGTGTCCCACCCGCACCAGCAAGACCTTCCCCGGGTGGAGAGGCAGTGAGATGCTAGTCGCAGGAGAAGTCTTGCTTGTATTTCTAAGTAGGCCCCACCTTGTCTGGTGCAAACTGAGGATTGATGGAGAAACAAGTAGGAGAGGGTTTATGCAGACACACTCCTGCAGGCCAGTGAAAGCCAGCTCTGAGCAGACAGTGAGTTCCTAGCATGTCTGTCCCCTGGGTGCACCTCCAGGGAAATGCCATGGGGACAGAAATGCGTTTCCACCTATCTGGAGCCTTCGCAGGCAAGAGCACTGTGGAGAGAGTCTGCACAGACCTCCCCCTCACGTCACTCCAGGCCTGAGTTTTGAGGTGTGAGGTTTCTTGGTTGTGGGAGAGCGAAGCTGGGGACATCAAGGGAGCCTCGGCGGAATCTCCTGCTTGTACCTGTCATAGGCAAGGCATGGTAGGGGTTGGCTAAGTCTTGTTCTCTTGACCTTTGGCAAGAAGGGCAATGATAGACCGCCAGCTTCACCTGCCGACTTGGCCTTTGGCCAAGACTTTTTAGAGTTTACGTTTATTTTATTTGTGTGAGTGTTTTGTGTGTGTATGCGCACGTATGCGGTGTGTGTGTGTGTGTGTGTGTGTGTATGTGTATGTATCCGTTTATGTGCCCACACGCATGTAGTGCCCACAGAGGCCAGAAGGCGGCATTGGATCCTGGAGATAGTGTTGGGGACTGTTAAAAATGTGGGCAGCCTTTTACTTGACTGTCTGTGCTCCAGGTAGAGGCTGTAGGGGCTCATGGAGGCTGCTGTTTGAGGTAACCCAGGGTCAGAAGTCAACAGTTCTGTGCATTTGCTCATGGCTGATCCCCGGGAGGTACCCTGGCCCTTTGCACTTCCCAGTTCTTTCTCCTGAGTGCCCCTCACCGTCAGCTCATCTGAGGAGGCCAAGTGGGTACCAAAGGGAAGATGGTGCAGGCCGGGACGGGTGGAGCGAGCCTAGAATGAAGCCGGCGTGGTTGGTCGTGTTTGCACTGTGGGCTCTGTGCAGTCTGCATCAGCTTACTAACATTCACAGTGATGACCCTGAGTGAGAAACAAGGGAAATGCTTATAAATGTTTCCATTAAAAAGTCAGAGGACCATTTGCTTTCCCGGGAGAAGATCGTATTTGTAATGGTTGGGAACAAATATCAGCAGCTAAAACACTGTCCTCAAGTGGGGTTCTTCATGCAGCTTCCAGGGAAACTCGACTTTCATAAACAACTCTGGTTGAGTCACTTACTCTGCTGTGGCTGTCTGTAAGCCGTGGGGTTCCAGAACCATCTGTGCACGCTAATGTCCTAGCCACCAGCCATTGTGCTTGTTCATGCCTTTTAACCTAACTTAGTTTTTTAACATTTCGTGAACCCCAGAGCTCTGAGTGTGCCAGGCTCTTCCCGTGACCTAAAGAAAGCAGTCAGAGCTCACACCCACTGTGGGATCGTCTGGTCATCTCCGGGATGCTTCTGAGGGAGACATGGCAGATTCCCTCAGTTGTAGATGGAGGCTCAGAAGAGGTTATAATACACGGCACACGTGGGACTCGCAAGCGACAGACCTGGCTTTTAAAGCAAAGTGTGTGATTTTTAGATGTTCTGTTCCCCTCCCCTGTACTCCCCTGTGTGGACTCCTTGTGGGGGACGATAGGAGGAGGAAAATTTGTTAGTCCCCACTCTGGTAATTGCTTGCCATCTAGGGCCAAGCTCAGGGGGACGTTTTCTTTCATAGAATCTTAAGGACGTTCTAGAAACACCAAACTCGACCAGAATCAGGAGCCCCTGTCTGCCTGTAAGCCACATTTGAGTAATCTGTCAACTTGAGACACGAGTCATCCAGACCCGGCTCACTCCACTTTGAAGCTGTCCTCAGGTATCACACCATTTATCTGGGAAATGTTTCTGTTTGTACCTTTAACAGTTGCGCTTTTGGCTGCAGGATTATCTATCGTGCCGTTGTTCACAGACACATTAACTACAGCTTTAATATCATCGGCGTGCCTTGCCAGGGCTCATTTCCCTCTCTCTCTCTTTTTTTTTTTAAGCCTACGTTTTATCGATTAATTTGATTACTGTGTGGGTAACTAGGGCGTTTGGTCTCAATTGTTCTTCCGGCCTCACCATCTTGAATAGTTGAGATTATCAGTAGTGTAAGCACCAATGTATCTGGCATACATGCATGCATGCATCCATCCACCCATCCACATATCATTTCTTGTAATTACGTATACTGCACATGTCTGAATGTGGGTTTGTGCATGAGTACAGGGCCAACAGACGTCAGGAGAGGGCATAGGAGTTATAGATGGCTGTAAACCTCCCGGCTTGGGTGCCGGACTTGAACGCAGACCTTCTGCAAGTGCAGTATGAGCTCCTCCCCACTTTGCAGTGCCCTCTGCTGTCACTCTGAGGACCCTAGCGTGTGCTTGCTGGTTTCCCCCGTGTGATGTCGGGGATGCTCGTGGTTAAGGGGAGATGGCTGCAACATGGTGACGTGACCATTATTTCCCCCCTTGTTTGTTAGCTGTGATCTCCCTACAACCTCTAGGTCTGCTCTGCTTAGTGTTTTGGTTACCCTGAGGTGTGGTATGTGTAGAAAACTCGAGAGAGCGAGAGAGCGTCTTACTTCTTTTCTTCTACAATTAGTTTTCAAGCTGTGAGTGGCCCTTTGACCTTCCCTGCTGGGGCTAAGGAGCTTTTTGTTGGCCCAGGAAAGAGATAATCTTTAAAGAAGGCTGCTCTTGTCTTCTCTGCTGTTTCCATGCTCCTTTATGAGGTGATTGTATTTTAGTTAAGCCCTTTTAAATATTTGTGTGTGTGTGTGTGTGTGTGTGTGTGTGTGTGTGTAGGTCAAAGAACAACTGAGTCACTTCTCTCCTTCCACTGTGGGTTCCAGGGATCAAACTCAGGTCACTGTGCTTGCGTGGCAAGCGCTGCTACCCAATGAGCCGTCTCGATGGCTGGAAGTCACTTTAAAAGCCAGTTATGAATCATCTTTCCCTTTGAACACAGCGTTTCCCGAGCTGACTTTCCTCTGCTGTGTTCAGCCGGAGTGCTTTTGTTTAGTGGTTTGAAGCCTACATCTAGGTTCTGGGTTCTTGCGTACTCTCTCATACAGCTCTTGCTGTATAGAAGCATTCCAGACTGACACCAAAGAAGGACCTGCAATTTCCACACCACGTTTCTACCATGCGCTAAGACCAGACACTGGGATGGGGCAAGACAAACAGTAGTGATGTTCCCGCCTTCAGAGTCCTCCTTTGGTAGGGGAGCTCAGGCCCCACACACTTTGTGGAGTCCGAATCTGGGCCTCAGTGGATGCAACATACCACAAATGCTTGCCCCTTCTCTGGTCTCACTGTGCAGTTCAGGGTGGAAGATCCCAATTCCTGCATCTCTTGAGATCTTGGTAGTGATGCGTTCCCCAGATCCGCTGCGTACCTCACCGTCTCTGGTCTCCCTCCACTAACCCTTGTCTCCTGTCTGCCCTTTCTGCAGTCCATTGCCTGCTGCTTTCCCCACAGCTCCCTGGTGCTCGTGGTCCACCCTTTCTGCAGTCCATTGCCCGCTGCTTCCCCCACAGCGCACTGCTGCTTGTGGGTTTTACTTTAGCGTCATTTTCTCTCACAGTTTTCTCGCTTCCTCTGCTTTGCTTCCATCACACAGATCAGGGACTGTGAAACCAGGCAGGAAGAGTCTTGGGTCCTCAGGGAGCGTGAAAGGGGCCCCAGGCCCAGTGGGGACAATGCCCCATCAAACTCTGTAGTAAGTTACTCTGCAAAGAACAGTGGTGGAGGCCGAGCACCAAATCTCCACTGGGAGGTAGCTGCCTTCAGGGGCTCAGAGGTTCAGGTGCCGGAGTGTCTAGCCCCAGACCTGGTGCCACTGTGTCTCATAGCTGTGCCTAAGTCTCAACACAAAAATGTAAACTTACCTAAAACATTCACTTTTTGTAGGTGTGATTTTATCTTCTGTCTCAGTGAGGGTGGGAGGACTGGGAAGTGCGACTGTGTGGGTCTAACTCAGCTTTGGAAGTGGCAGGGTGGGCGGAGTCAGAAAGTTGGCCGCTATCTGGCAGAACTTTGGCTGTTGGGGCCTTGAGGGATCTCTTTGCCCTCCGGTAGTACCGTGAGATTGGCCATTTTTTGGGGTGGGGGGACAAAGGGCAGGGAACTTCTTTGGTAGGGCACAAAATGGATCTAAGATGAAGGTACGACTATTTTTGACACAGGCCAGCTGCAAACTATTTTCCTGCCTCCACCTCTGAATTCTGGGATTATAAGCATGTTATCAATACATCCCCGGCTACATTTTCACCTTCCCTTCTAGGTTCCCAGAAAGCTTAATTCGGTTCAGTTAAAAGCGTGAGAATAGGTATTTTTATAGTTGTTTCGTTGTTTCTTCCTAGGTGAGGGTTGGGGATAGGAAGGATAGGTCCATGGGAGGAGGTATTGACCGCAAGCTGTTACTCATTAAGAGGCCATATACATAAAGGGATTATTAGCTGTGGAACACACAGCTTGGACGTGGAGACCTGCCTTCCCTTCGTTACCTCTTTTGTTGTATTTGCCAAGTCTTCCATTCCATCGCTCTCTTGCTCGCTCGCTCCCTGTCAGGAGAATTGTGAGGAAGTGACAAAGACTTCATGACTTTGTCCAGAGTATCAGGCAAATTGGGGTGGTATGAGTTGCCCCTGGGCTCCTAGGTGCAGGGCCCAGGTTAGTGTGCTGTTGACCCAGCTGTCCTGGCTTGTCCTAGGGTCTAGGTCCCCCATATGAACAACACGGTGCCCTCAATTCTCAGGGAAACCCAAGGGTCATCTTAGGAAATGTTGTGCAGCCATTGTGATCATGGGGTCAGGTGCTCTTGAATTAATTCTCTGTCCTTCTTCAAAGATATTACTGGGGACGGAAGTGACAGGGAGCCTCGGAGTCCATGGAGTCTGAGGGCCTTGATCGTATGCGTTCGTTGAGTAGCATGTCCTTCTGTATAATACTCAGAACGTCCATGACCTCGTGGAAGGCAGTGTGGTTGTGTGTGGTGTGTGTGTATGTGTGTGTGTGTGTGTATGTGTGTGTGTGTGTGTGCGTACAGAGTGGGAGGTCAGATTTGGGGTCACAGCCCGTTTGAGAGACCGTGGCATCTCCTGTAAATGTCCTGACTGGGGATCAGTGGTTGGGAAGATGTTTCTATTATTCTCCTTCTCGTTCCCTGTCCCTTCTCATGGACAGAAAATAGTCATGCGAAGCAAACTCTCAGCTGTTTGCACGTCTGTGTTATCTGAAAGGAAAAGCTGCCCAGAGTCAAGTGTCTGAAAGATTTCCAAGCCTGCCTTTTTGTCCTTGAGGAGGAAGTGGTGTGGGCCCCCGTGTTTACTTTTGGTGACTTTGATTTGCAGGGAGTGTTTGGTTTTCTCTCATGGGGGAGGGGTCCGTGAGGATTGGCGGGGGGCGGGGGGGGGGGGGATGTGGGCTAAGGGGTGTGAGCGGCCTGTGAGTCAGGGAACTGTTTTGTAATGAGGGCTCCAGTTCTTCCTTGCTGGTCAGAAGATGGCTTTCCCCAGAGCCTCTCACGTCATTGGTATTGGCTTTTGGTTTTTGTCTCGGAGAATAGATGTTTATTAATCTTGACTTATAATCAGTGCCTGGTGCTGTAAGGCTGAAACCACGGTTTGCGCCATGTTTAGTTTTCAATCCCAGACTACCTCAGCAAAGGTGGCAGTAACCCTGGCACACCTCAGTGTCTAGGGGATAGAGACATATTACACAGTCTCCCTGGGGACTGTGCAGACTGCGGCTTTTCCACATGCCCAGCAGAATCTGGGATGCACGGATTTGCAGAGCCTGCGCTGAGGAAGATTGGAACATTCTCTTTTTGGTCCTGTGTTTTCACAAATGTCCTCGCGGAGAAGGCTGGAACAGAAGGAGGTAGCATGCTTATGCCTTTTGTGAATGGACCACACTGTCACTTCCTGTTAGGCTGGGTGGGGCATTGAGAGGCCATAGGAAGCAAGGCGGACCAAGAGCTGGCATGTCCGTATTTAATCAGATTACTAGCCCTTTTCCTCCTCGGCCACTAATTTTTTTCCTTACTCATTTTCAGCCAGCATTTATTTGGCAGCCTGCCAGGTGTCTTTTAAAGTTGATTCTAGCACGCATTGGGCATCTGCCTGGACCAATCCCAGTGTATTAACATGCTTCTGCCTTTGAGCTTGTGGCTCTGAGTTCAGGTTTGCTGTAGTAATGATGGCAGCAGTTTTCTCTGCCTTAGGTCGGGGCGAGGGGCACGTGGAAGTAAAGCTGTGTTGAGAAAAATTGGTGGTTTATATTTCTAATGAGTGCCTTTTTTTTTTCTTTTTTAGGAGACCACCAGAGTAGTCCAGCCTGTCCTTTTAGGGAAATTCATTGAGTATTTTGAGAACTATGACCCCAGCGACTCCGGGGCTCTGCATACAGCTTATGGCTACGCCGCGATCCTGTCGGCGTGCACGCTCCTCCTGGCCGTGTTGCACCACCTGTACTTTTACCACGTGCAGTGCGCCGGGATGAAGCTGAGAGTGGCCATGTGCCACATGATTTACCAGAAGGTAAGTGACGGTGACTTGGCCAAAGATGGGCTTCGCCTGAAGCCTCAGAAGGAGGTCTTCTGTAAATTAGATGTATGTAAATAAATTGGGTGTTGTGGCACGCGTGTATATTCCCAGTGCCATGGAAGCTGAAGCAGGAAGGTCACAAGTTCAAGGCCCTCTCAGACTGTCTGACTAGACCCAGTCATAAAACAGTTTAAACCACACTAGAGAAGCTTGCTCTTTGGATTGGGCTATAGAAATTAATATAATTATCATCATTTTCACCATTATTTTTAATTCTGCAAACTTTCCCAAAAGAACATGGAAGCCTCCTCTTGCTATCAGATGGTGGTTACTTATAATACCAGATGAGATAGTGAATTTATGGAGAATCTAGGTAAAAGATAAATGCAGAATTGGTTTTCAGTGTTTTCATAGATAAATCTCATAACTGCATCTATGAAATGTTCTTTTTTGGTGCTGTTTACTAAATTCTTCACTGATATAAAAATTGTCAGGGAAATGGGGTTCTCAGTATTAAACCCAGGAGAGAAGAGTCTCTGAAAAAGGAAGGTTTGTTTTTACACCAATTGTTTAATTACGTTAATTTTGTCAAGGTAAAGAGAAATGTAAGCCAAACCCATATTAAATACAGGGCATATTATAGTTGTGTGTCTTGGTATAACACATTTATCTTAAACTTAAGAAAAAGTATTTTTGGAGAAAACTTTAGTTTCCTTGTTGCTTGTCGCTCTGATTTTTGAATGTGTTTTATCTTGCTTCTGCTGAAGTTTAATGATGGGACCTGGTGTGATGTGCTCAGTGCCTTTTGTGTTGGGGAATGCCACATTCTTCTTGGTTTGCCCTGACTAACAGTTAGGAAGCATGCCACTAGGAAACAGCACCCGCCAGATGAGGGGTGTCAGGGTCTGGAGAACCCTCTCAGCGCCACGTGCCGATCTACCATGCTCTCTTGCTTTCCTGTTTTACATTAAACAAAGAAAGACATTTTTATATTATGTATTTTATTTTCCCTACATGTATCTACATACACAGAGACACACACACTTACACACAGATACACACACAGATACGCACACAGAGACACATATACACATACACACACAGATACTCACAGAGACACAGATAAACACACAGATACACATATATACAGACAGACAGACAGACACACACACAGACAATGCATATACACAGACACAGACAGACACACACAGACACACACATAGACACAGACCACACAGACACAGACAGACAGATATACACATACACACACCCGCGCGTGCTATATGCATAGCACCTCATTCCTGAAGACCCAGGCATTCTGCAGGAGCAATGAGTGTTCTTAATTGCTGAGACATTTCTCCAACTGCTTACTTCACTTTTCAGGGTTGAGTTGCCGTTTGGCGATGACATCAAATGATGGAAATTGCCCCATCGTTTACCTTTTTTATGGTCTATCTGGAACTTGCATGGATTCTCTCCAGCAAATACAGAGTACCTCCCACATCTCTTCCGTTGAGCAGTTTATTAATCTTGGGATTATGTGGTTCGTGGCGGCCTGGCGTCTTAGGATCTATTTTAGGCTCTTACATATACAATGTTTTCTTTGTGTGTGATGTGGAAATGGTAGTCATGTCTGTGGGGTGCAGTCAAGGGGGCTTCATCATCACCATCGTCACCGTCATCACGTCTGTGGCATCCTCGTCTATCATGCAGGAGAATATGGAAATTTCCCTACAGATTGTCTAGGTTTTAATCCTCCTAGCTGCCACTCAGTTCTCTCAGTACCTGGGAATTCTCGTTACCACTGTGCTATGGACACCACAATCACACCAGTCAGGTGTGAGGTGCCGCTCAGGTAACCAGAGCTCTTGCGCAGGTGACTCCACCTGTCTTTCCTCCGATTTCCTCTGCTAACACTTGGAGCTGGCCTTTGGGGAATCCGATCCAGCTTGGTAGATTGGCTTACCTGACTGTAAGTAAACGACTCCCTAAGGTATTAATATGTTGGTATGGTTATCCCAGAAGTGTTTCTGTGAAGTCCAGAGATTCAGCCTGAAACTCTAGGAGCGTGGGAAAGATGAATTTCCTCTGGCCTGCCTTGTGCTGGAGGTGTGCCTGCTCTGTGGGGCTGAAGCTGTCTGCGGTGAGCATCTGGAAGGCCCTTCTGCGGATGTTTGCGGCACATGCCCAGGCCCCATTGTCAATTCGTAGTCCCAGGAGAAATCAGTTTGGGTGGTATAAATGGAGCGATCATCAAACTCATCACTGTAGTTTGGTACTGATTGACCTTGTGAGACGGATCTTCTATTAAAATGGCTTGTTGGTCTGGAGAGATGGCTTGGTGGATGAAGTGTTTGATATGCAAGCATGAGGACCAGAATTTAGATCCTAGACCCCATATAAAGGCCAGGTAGCACGGAAGCCTGGCTTGTGTGTAATCTTAGCACTTAGGAGACGGAGACAGGAGAATTCTTGGCAAGTTTCCTAGTAAGACCTGTCAGATTGGTAGCTTTTGGGTTCACCAAGAGACCGTGACTCTACAAATAAAGCGGAGAAATTCACGAGGAGCCTTGCTGGTCTCCACATGTGTGTGCTTAGGCATCACACACACACACACACACACACACACACACACACACACACACACGATGAGATGACTTGTCACTTATTCACTGTCACAGCTTTAATAAAGTTGCACTAGCGTTGAAACACTGCACTTGCTCACTTGGGGAGTGAGTCTCTGCCACCTCCACCGAGAGACCCGTGTCCTTTCTTTACTAGTTGGCTGGGATGCAGAAGAAGGTGACTTGTCCAGCTTCAGGTGTCCTGGGGTTGGTTCTTTGGCTTCAGTGTGAGAGAGGGCCATGTTGAATGAAGATGGCTCTGCTAGTCAAGGTGCGAATGAGCAGAAGGCAGCTAGAGCCCTCCTTCCCTAGTGCCTTGTAGGTATGGGTCGCGCTCTCTCTCTGTCTCTCTGTCTCTCTCTCTCTCTGTCTCTCTCTCTGTCTCTCTCTCTGTCTCTCTCTCTCTCTCTCTCTCTCTCAAATCTTGGCTCAGGGGCTTTATGGGATTTAACTTAGCAAAGAACTGAAAGTCCACACTTTGAACATCCAGGATGATGGCCTCAACACTGACGTTCTGCACTTTCATTATGAAATACACAAGGCACAGAAAGTTTCTCCCTTCAGATCTCTGGCCCAGACTGTGGGTGGGTTTTCTGACTGTGTCCAGTTTGCAGAACCAGGGCAACAGGGACTGATTTCTGAGCTTTGAGAGGTGGATTTGCTCTGAATACCAAGCCAAGCTAAGGCTGTTGATTGCAGAATTTGTTGCTCCTGGTAGCAGACTTCCTCACAGCAGGATCTGCTCTGCATAGAACTGCTGGTCCTCACTGACTTTAGAGTTCCATAAGGAAGGATGGTGGGAGGGAGCTTGTTCCTGCTCCAGCTAAGGTGTTAGCTTCAGCGTCCCCTTGTAGGCCATCAGAGCTCTGTCTAAGGTGTTAACTCTGCAGACACTTCCGCTTCCAGATGTATTTAATGGTGCCGGTGCGGATTGAAAATATGGTAGTAGGCCTGCTCAGGGGGCCGGAAAAGGTGATTGACTGAGGTAGTGGGCCTGCTCAGGGGACCAGAAAAGGTGATTGGCTGAGGTAGTGGGCCTGCTCAGGGGACCGGAAATGGCGATTGGCTGAGGTAGTGGGCCTGCTCAGGGGACCAGAAAAGGTGATTGACTGAGGTAGTGGACCTGCTCAGGGGACCAGAAAAGGCGATTGGCTGAGGTAGTGGGCCTGCTCAGGGGACCAGAAAAGGCAATTGGCCGAGGTAGTGGGCCTGCTCAGGTGACCGGAAAAGGCGATTGGCTGAGGTAGTAGGCCTGCTCAGGGAACTGGGAAAAGGCAATTGACTGAAGTTATATTCATTATTCTCAGATCAGAGTTAATTTTGTTTTTATTTTTACACTAATTGTAGTTCAGTGTGGACTATACTGCCTTATATTTAGACAGCATGGAACTGCCAATCTTCAGGTACTTTGGCCTTCTCAAAGCTAGGCGTGGCATGTGGTTTGGCCTGATGTTTTGTCTGTTGGTCTGCAATTAGACCTTCTTTCTGAGGTTGTGTAGGGAGGACCTTGAGGGTACTGTCAGAGGGAATCCATGTGGTGTTTATCGTAAGTGGTACCTCGGCCAGACTTGCTGTTCTCACGGTATTAACATTTGCCAGAACGAGCTGGAGCTTTGTGCTAGTTTAATATTTTTCTTCTAAATCATTTATTATTTTATTTCTAATATGAACTTTCATTTGATGTGGGTGTTTTATGGGGGCAAACTGTCAGTCTTCCAACCTACTAAGAAAGAGCTAATTTCTGTGGTTGAACACCCAAATCAGCAAGGTGCGGAGTCATTTTTTCAAATGGAGATTACTGCTTCAGCATCCGGAATGGCATGACAGGCAGCTGCATTGTGTTGTCAGGTGACTCAGTGGCCCTGCGAGGTGTCTTGTGACCCGGGAGAGGGTCCTGCATGTAGTTCAGTGGTCCCTTGTGCTGGGTATTGGATTCTTGTGGGGGGATCTTTAAGCCTACCCTGATGCTGTCTCCTACCTGTAGAGGTTCTCGTTTAATTGTTAAAGGGGGCGTTTTTTAAATCACCCAGATAATACTCGTAAGCCTTGCGTGCATGTTCATCTTAACTTTCCAGCACACAATGGTGGTAGCCTGTGCTTACAGGTGTATCCTCAGCGGTCGATGGCACCATGGGATTGCGGGCACACGTCACTCGCTGGAGGCCTGGCACTCAACATAGGAGTCTATTCATAGTTATGTTCTTCACTGAGGCAGTGCTGCCCTGTGCATTGTGGGATGCCAGACATGAGTCCTTTATCTCTGGGATCAGCCTGCACAGTGCCTGTTTTTCTGATCTGCAAACATTGGCCTCACAACCAACCATCCCTCTTTTGTTGTTGTTTATGGTGGAGCCAGAGGTGTGGCCGTTG